ACACACACACACACACACACACACACACACACATACCGTGTTATTTGATTCAGTCTTTTTTATTGCGTCGAATATATTACAACAAAATAAGATATCGAAGTCTTCACCAGCTGCAATAGATATTGTTCTACACATTCATTGTACTGTCTCGAGTAAAATTCCAATACATGAAAACCTATATTATTTTCTTACCATAGCGAAACATTCAAACGATCCGACAATCAGTCCTTTGAGATTTAAAGTGAAATCTTTAGTACCTCTTTGTAATAGAAAAAGTATCATTTTTTGAATGTATGTGGGAGTCATATACCATTGAACACTATATCTGTAAAATAATATAACGAATAAAAAGATCGAAAGTTTGGAAAAACAAGAAATTTGTGTGATAATATTTAATTAACGTTTAAACGTTAATTAAATATTATACATACACTTTAATTATTTTAAGGTATTCGCAGTTATTTTCAATACACATTATACATTTATACAAGTTACTTATGTGTGCAATATAATATATATAATATTTTACAATAAAATTCTCTTACGCAGTAATGAATACATAATTAGTATGATCTATAATATTTTGTCCGGTATAGTTGGCTAGAAACATGTATAGAATACAAATTAATACGAATATAAAAGGAAATAATAATTCTTTGACATTAGCTTGAGATGAACTAATCTGAAAAATCTAAAATACAATTATTATTGTTAAGAGTTAAAGAAAATATGTAGAATTGACAAAGAAGTCAATTTTCTCTACATATTTTTCCGTTCCATTATTCTTTATATAATAAGTTATTCTTTTAGAAATTACGATTAATTTATATGAAAAATTTTGCATATAAAATTAATTATAAATATTAATTAATCAAAAATATTAATATAAAAATACAATTCTTTTTTACTATAGGACTAGATTGTGAAATATTAAATACTACTTTAAAAATAAAGATTTTAAAAAATAAAGAAAAGCGAGACTTACTCTGAAGAGGTTGGTACTCAGAGAAGTCACTCCAACTGCTATTAGACAGAGCAACATTATCTCAAATTTAGATATCAACAATTCGGACAATCTTTAAACACAAATAAATATTATTATATATGATTTATATCTATAATTTTTATATACTGACTTCATAGCTTGCCGATGAATATCTATAGCACAAATTATTCCTTCGAATATGAATTTCTCGTTTTTTGTAGTAATATTTTTCAGCATATTGATTTTCATTGCGCGTTCAATACGATAACTATAAATAATATCGAAAGACATTATTTTTTTGTTTTAAAAAAATAAACTATTTTTAGACTTTTAAAATATAACAATTCTTTGAAATGATAAACAGAATTCGATAATAATAATATAATTGTATTATTTATGATTCGAATTTTTATGACCATGTCTATATTTGTTTCATACCTGGAAATTTTAAACATTCCACATGTAAATTGAAAATATACAAACAACATTGTTCCTATCCCTATTATTGCAAACAATCCTATGCAAAATGCTGCGTTTATATGTAATAGAATTAAAGAGAAATATTTTTCCTGATCGATAAAGTATTCCGTTGTGAATTGCATTCGATGAGCTTGAGATGCATTTATCGGTAAAATGACATTAGATGTAGTCAATAAAAATTCAGCGATAATAGAAGTAAATACACTGCAAATACCAAATACTAAAGACAGTAACTCACATAATTTTATATTTTATAATATCTCAAAATATTATTTTAAGCATATTTATATATTATATAAAAAATTTTACATTTTTTAAAACTCAATTATAATTGGTTTTTACTGCTTCGTATTAGTTAACAATTTTACTCTTTATATTCGATTTAAATATCTTTTGTCACAAATGATTATTTTCTTCTTAATATATATAACAATACATATCTTAATAGAGCATCCGATGTATTGTACATATGTAATTAATTATTATTATTTATCAAGATTTATTTGTCTTCTATTGAAACCTTGACTTTATTAACAAGAAGAGATATAACCAAATGCAAACATCCAAAAATATCGTCTTACTTATAAGTGCAGCCGTATAACATTTTCCAGTATAACCATACTTTTCCATAATAGCGTTTTCATATTCATCTTGTAATTTATTGTATACATTTTGAAGTTGCACCAGTAAATGCTTTACCTGTCAGTCCAGTAACTTGTTATATTGTCTTTATATATTTTTTTTCCAAAAAGATCGTTGAATATACAAATTTATCAGAAATGTTAATTTAATCGAATATGGTAAATCGTTAACTTACAACTTTCATCTTAAAACCAAACGAGATGTAATTTATTACAAACAAGAGAAATGAAAACGTAACAGACAAAATCCTGAGGACGAGATCCAAAGAACATTTTGAAGTGAAAAACGCAGTGAACTGCAAGTAATAATTTTATTGAAATGTTTGTATTAAAAAAAAATCTATTTTATATATTTAATAACTTTAAATTATAGGTTTGTTCCTTTACATATAATAATTTTACGATAAAAGTAATTGTAGTGACATATCTGGTAGTTTGCAACTATTGTAATATTTCAATAAAAAAGATAATTCAGATTGTAAAAGTCAGAGTTAATATTTTCCAAATTAATCAAAATTAGCAAGCAGAATTTTTTTAACTTATTTCTATTATGCGTAAGCGCGTATCTATAATTAAGTATTGATTTTTACAGCTCTGCAGGTATTATTGATTTTCTCTGCTCCGCTGGCATACAATCTCGATTTCTTATATACTAGATATACGTACATACGTATTGTATACATTTTAATAATTATACATTAACAAGTTCATGGCAAAATTTAATCATTACGTGCAAATTATTTAATCTTTTATTTTAATTAAAATTGTAATCTTCTTATAGTATATATATATATA